CACCACCACCAACAACAACAACAACAACAACAATCACCACCACCAACAACAACAACAAACATCACCACCAACAACAACAACACCACAACCGCCACCAACAACCATCACCACCACCAACAACAACAACACCAACAACAACACAACCACCATTATGACACAGCAGCCCGGAAGAGACAATCACTATAGTCCGGGGAACAAGGAACAGGAAGGAAGGCAAAGATGACAAAATATATAAGTTTATCACGTGTTTCCTGCTTCCTTATCCTCCTCCTCCTCCCTGATCCCTCTCTTCCTCTCCATTCCTCCCCCTTCATCTTTCTCCCTATTTCTTCTCTTTTCACCCATTCCTCCCTCTAATCTCTCTTCCATCTTCTCGAAATCCTCATCCATTTCCCCTAAGATGAGGTCAAAGGGAGAGGAACAGGTCAAATGGGGAAGAATGCAAGGTTAGAGGGGGAGAAAAAGGGGGAAGAACGGGAAGTCAAAGGAAAAACGGAAGGTCAAAAGGGAAGGAGGTCAAAAGGGGAGGAAGGGGGTCAAAGGGAAAAAGGAGAGATCAAAGGGAGAGGAAATCAAGGAGAAGGGGAGAGGTCAAAGGGCAAGAAGAAAGGGAAGGTCAAAGGGCAGGAAGAGAGCCAGCTACACCGATAGTTACCACGCTGAAGCCATTATTTATATTCAACACATAATGTTACCTTAATGGTGCCACTACCTTAATGGTGCCACTTATTAGTACTAACCACAAGGGCTAAGACTACAGGTGCAATTTCTACCTGTAAAGGGGGGAGGGAGGGGAGGAGGAATGGGAAAGGAAGATGACTGTCAATACAAAGAGGGGAGGGGAGAAGAGGAATGGAAAGAACAGAGAAAGAGAGAATGGGAAAGGGTGAGAAGGAAACAAGAAATGGGGCAGAAAAAGAGGAGAACCGGAGAAGACGGAGGGAGAAGAGAAAGAATGGAAAAAGAAGTAAATGGGAGGGGAAAAGAGAGGAAGAATTGTGGAAGAAGGGAGATTAGTGGGACTGGGGGAAGAGAGAAAGATAGGGAGAGAAAGAACAGAGAGGGTGAAGGAAGAAGAGAGCAGAGATAGAAAGGGAAAGAGAGCAGAGAGAGAGCAGAGAGGGAAGATAGAGCATCAAACGAGAGGGAAGGGAGGGGGAGGAGAGGTGGAAGCAATATGGTGATAACTGATAAACTGTACTTTATGGAGACTGACGGAATAGTACTGATGGCACCTCTCCCTCCTCTTCCCTCCCCTGCTCTCATCTCCCCTCTCCCCATCTTATCCTCCCCTCCTCCCCACCCACCACCTCACCTATTGTTCTTCTTTCCTACTTATCTCTCTCATTCTCCCAATTATCTCTCACCTCCACTCCTACTTTGTCCCTCATCTTCCCCTTTGCCCCCAACCTTCACATCAGACCAGAATAACACAATGAAGGGTTCATCCGGACAACTGCCCCCCTCCAGAGATGCTTGGGGGAGGGGCGGGAGGAGAGAGGAGGGAGGATAGAGGAGAAGAGGGGAGGAGGAGGAGAGGGGACATTGGTGTCATCTGGTACAGAGAGAGAGAGAGAGAGAGAGAGGATTAGGAAGAAAAGGAAGAGGGAAAAGAAATGGCAGAGGAGGAATAAAAGGAAGAGGGAGAACGGGGAGAGGAGGAAGAGAACATAAGGAAGGGGAAGGAGGAAAGGAAGAGAGTCAAAAATTGTCTCCTAGCAGCAACAATCCAGTGAATCAGAAGGACCATCACAAGTTAACTCTAGGAATAAAATAACATGGACGTGTAAACCTCCCCTTAAAGTCTCACGGCAGATCGACCTCCACCACCTACCCCCTACCCCCTAACCCCCCACCCCTCTAAAACCCTCCACCACCTCCTACTTTCTTGTTAGTCTACTATTAGAAGATTCGAGGGAGGAAGAGGAAAGGGGATACTCTCTCTCTCTCTAAAGGTCAACTAAGTGAGAGGTCATCCCTAGAGAAAGTCAGCAGAGGTCAAGAGGTTAGGGAAGGTCAAGAGGTCAAGAAAAGTAGTCATGGAAGCCGCCAAGCTAGATGAGGGTCAGAGAGTCTCTCCCTACCACCTCGACCTGGATGCGCAAGCGAGATATCACGGGTTCGATTCCCGGGCCGGTGGAAAGTAACCCAGCCTCCGTTGGTCCCTGTTCACCTAGCAGTAATGTAGGTACCTGCTGTAAATCGAAAGTTGCGAATTCGTATTCAGGAAAGTTGTTGGAGCTTCCAATAACTTGCTTAGACATACCACTTCTTCACGCCTTGACTTCATGCTTCTCTACGCCCTTGACTCTTCAGGCTTCTACGCCCTTGACTCTTCAGGCTTCTACGCCCTTAACTCATGAGACATAAGGCAAGCATGAACTTAGCATGCTTCCCTGTTGGGCGCTAAACGCTTCTGCGCTTCACCTTACACAAGGATGTGGGGGGAGGAGAGGAAGGGTATGGAGGAGAAAGGAGAAATATGGGAAGGAGAAGAAAAGCAGGAGAGGGGGAGGAAGGAGAGGGAAAAGGAGAGAAGAAGAGGAAAGAGGGGAAGGAGAGAGAAGAGGAAAGAGAGAGAATGAAAGGAGAGGGGAAGGGGAGGTGACTAGACAATCGAGAGTTGGAAGAGAATTATGCGATGGAGATAAGAAGTGTTTAAGAAAGGCAGAGAAAGTAAGGATGAGAGATGGGAGGGGTGAGAGACACAGAAAAGGGAGAGGGAAGTGTGCGAGAGAGAAAAATAAGAGAGGGAGAGGTATAAAGGACAAAGAAAGGTAGAAGGGAAAGGTAGTAAGGGTAACAGGAGAGAGAGAGAGAGAGAGAGAGAGAGAGAGAGAGAGAGAGAGAGAGAGAGAGAGAGAGAGAGAGAGAGAGAGGAGGCGAGACAGGGTTGCAGGAAGCCGCACTAGTGGACCAGGTGTCGCTCTCTGCTTGATGAATATGGAAATCCTTTTTACTGCCCCATGACACTACCCACACCTCACCACCTCCAACAACTCATCTGCACACGAACATACACACACACACACACACACCATCAACACCCCCCAGGCCGCCCAGACTGGTATACACATCCCCCAACTGGTAAACAGAATGCAGCCACACCCACACATCAGCCACACCCACACATCAGCTCACACCAAGACCAAATACACACCCGGCCACACCACCACCCACTTACATCATACACGCACATATGCACACACACACAGGCATGCACATACATACATACACGCACACACACCCAAACCACCCACATCCGATTAATTTACCACGGAATATCAACACAAGTTTAGCTCTAGGTATGAATACAGTTATTTTCCTGACAGGTAAGGAGAGGACAAGGTATCTGCCTCTCTGGCCTCAGGTGTACACTTACACTACATCCTCCGTGTACCAATATACTCGGAGATGCTAACACACACACACACACACACACACACACACACACACACACACACACACACACACACACACACACACACACACACACACACACACACCTCCAATTAGCAGTCGTGTACCTGGATAATACACGTACCTCAATGCCTCTATTAATTACTCATACGTAGACCAAGATCATTTGAGTACTCCCTAACGAGCTCTCAGCCTTGTACTAACTCCTATCATTTTATTCATCCACTATTTGATGTGACATTGAAAATTCCCATCCAGTTGATACATACATACATACATACATACATACATACATACATACATACATACATACATACATACATACCTGGCTGCTTGCATACTGTATTTGAGAAAGAGAAAGAGGAGGAGAGGAAGGAAGAGGACGAGGAAAAAACAGATCACATAGTTGGTTTAACTTAGCTTTCATGAATCTGACTCAGCCATCCTTGAGAGACTTGGTACTGTATGTATGTAAAACTACCTCATATTTTGAGTATCATGACCAGAGCTGAGAGGTACCATGACCAGAGCTGAGAGGTACCATGACCAGAGCTGAGAGGTACCATGACCAGAGCTGAAGGTACCATGACAGCTGAGAGATATCATGACCAGAGCTGAGATATCATGACCAGAGCTGAGAGATATCATGACCACAGCTGAGAGGTATCATGACCACAGCTGAGAGGTACCATGACCACAGCTGAGGTATCATGACCACAGCTGAGAAATATCATGTATTCAACTAAATCTAAGGCGAAATGATTTTAAGTCTTGTTATGTGTTGCTTCTGGGAGACTGTGAACGGTAATGTGTGTGTGTGTGTGTGTGTGTGGTGTGTGTGTGTTGATTTTAACGAGATACCAAGAGTCGTTCTAAACTATCAACGCTGAGGGTTCCTGCTGGTTGTAATATGTGGTCGGGGAAGGGGAAGAGGAGGGAAGAGGAGGGGAGAGGAGAAGTGGGGAGGAGGAGGGGGAGTGGGAGGGAGGGGGGGGAGGGGAGGAGGAGGGAGGAGGAGGGAGGGAGGGAGGGGGTGGGGGGAAGGAGGAGGAGGAGGGGAGGAGAGGGGGGGGGGAGGAGGAAGGAGGCAGAGGGAGGAGGGGGGAGAAGGAGGGAGGAGTGATGGGGGAGGGAGGAAGGGAGGCGGGAGGAGGAGGAAGCGGTTCATGAACTGGGCTACAGAAGATAACATGAATTCGCTGGAGCCGCCATGAAATTAGCTCCGGGATTCACTGACACACACACGCACACACAGACAGACACACACACATGAACTCCTGCTGCTAGGTTGGCAGGTAACCTTTGATATCGCGAAAAGCCAAAGGCGAGAGAGAGAGGAGGAGAGAGAGAGAGAGAGAGGAGAGAGAGAGAGAGAGAGAGAGAGAGAGATTAAGCTAAACTAATGAGAACATCAGGTAAGTACTCAACACCCCCAACAGGTGAGCCAATCATCAAAGCCTCGGTAGCCTCGCGTCCTGAAGCAGCATCAGTTTGCATCTGACATCAACACATCAGTCCAACCCGCCTCCCTCTTCCTCCTCCCTCACCCTTTGGCCCTTGAGGTACTCGACTCTTGATTACTAACAGGTGAAATGTTGTTCCTGCTTCTGTTGCTGCTGCTGCTGTTGGTGTTCATCCTGTTTGCGTTCATCCGGTTGTTGTTCATCCTGTTTCTGCTGTTGTTCTCCCTCGTGTTGCTGCTGCTGCTGTTATTTTTATCGTTATTGTTCATCCTGGTGTTGTGCTAGTGCTGTTATTTGTTCATCTTGTTGTTGTTGCTGTTATCCCTGTCAGTGTTCTGTTTCCACCGTCTCTACTACAGTATGTTGTCCTTTGCTGCTACTATGTCTGCTGATGAGACTTTGTTTTTACTACTACTACTACCCCCACCACCACCACTACTCTACTACCCCACCACCACCACCCACTACTACTACCCCACCACCACTACCACCACCACACCACACCACCACCCACCACCACCCACTACCCCCACCCCACCACCACCACTACTACTACCACCACCACTACTACCACCACATCACCACCACTACTACTACTACCACCACCACTACTCCCCACCACCACCACCACCACCACTACTACTACCACCACTCTAACCACACCACTGCTACTCCACCACCACCACCCCACCACCACTACTACTACCACCACCACTACTAATACCACCATCACTACTAGAAGTACCAACACTACTTCCTATTTTTTCTGCTGAAGCTATTAACAGTACTTCCTGCCACTGTTGCTGCTGCCTCCTTTGCTGGTGTTGTCGCCGGTGTAAGAAGAGGCCAGACCAACGCTCACACACCTGAAGGAGTCATTAACCTGGAAGCCTACCTGGTTGAACTCAAAGGGCGGGAGTGAGGGAGGGGATGAGAGGCTCGAGGAAGAGGAGAGGGAGGGATGAGAGGGGCTCGAGGGAAGAGGAGGGAGGGGGTTGAGAGGGGAGAGCGAGGGGGAAGGACATGAAAGAGGGGAAGAGCAGGTAGAGGAGACTGGGTATATAAGGGAATGAGAGAAGAGGGAAAGGGGGCATGAAAGCACAGAAAATACAAAGAGAGAGAGAGGAACGGACGGACAGGAGAAGGGCGAGACAGCACAAAGAGTAGTGTTGTGTGTGTGGAGAGGGAGAAGATTGAAGGGTGAGGGGGAAGGAGGAAGAGATGGGCGTGAGAGGTCAAGAGAGGTGTCAGAGGGAGGCTACCAACAGATGAATGGCCCACTCACCCAGGCAAAGTGAATGAAGCAGTTCACTCTAGCTAGCGACACGACCTGGGTATACAAAGGGTCAGTTTACCTGGCGTGGGGGGTTTACCTTGCTTTACCTGGTGTGGGGGGTTTACTGCTTTACTTACCTGGCGTGGTTTACTTTGGTTTACTTGAGATAGGGTTTACCTCGGTATACCTGGCGTGGGGGTTAAACCGCTTACCTGACGTGGGGTTTACTTCGGTTTATGTGACGTGGTGTTTACTGAACCCAGTGACTGCATATACTAGCGCTGGTTTACCTGATGAGAGATGGGCATAACTTCGCTATACGTACGTTTCCCTGATATTGAGTTTACACTAACCTAACCTGATCTGATTTAATCTAATGTAAGCTAACCTGACTCGACCTGACCAAACGAAACCAAACCAAACCAAACCAAACCTAACCTGACCTGACCTGACCTGATCTAATCTAACCTGACCTGACCTGTCAACACAAACACATGATTTAACCGGATGTACCTGCCACTGAATACAGTTTAAGCCAAGAGGGGAGAGAAGCAGCTTACTACATTGGTACATTGGAACCCCTTGAGTGTGAGGGGACCAACCACATGCTACCTTAGTGACGGGAAAGGGGAAGGGAAGGAAATGGAAAAGACTAGTGATAAAGAGGGAACTGAATGCCGAAAGTGAGTGTGCTTGGGTGCGTGCGTGAGTGCGTGCGACAAGAATAATGAGGATCACTTACCAGGACAGGTGAGTGACCACGGTGAGACAAGGAGGAAGAGGAGGTATGATTATTGGCACGGAAGAAGAAGAAAGAAGAAGAAGAAGAAGAAGAAGAAGAAAGAAGAAGAAGGTGTTTATTGGTAAGTAGAAGGGAAGAAAGAGGAGGACGAGATGACAAACAAGAGGAGGAAGAAGACGAGGAGGAGGAGGAGGAGAGACCACTGGCTAGCCGGGGGAGAGCTTGTCATGGGACGTCCTATCGAGCGTGGGGCCTGTCATAACACAGGCTGCTTCTCGACCCCCCCACCTCCTCCTTGACCTGCACCACAACCTGCAACACTCACCCTGCACCACAACCTGCAACCTCAGCCTCCACCACAACCTGCAACAATCAGCCAGCAGCACAACTTACAACACAACCTGCAACACTCACCCTGCACCACAACACAACCTCAGTACAACATAACACTCAGTACTGAACACAATTGACAGTCAGTGAAACAACTGACATCTCACAACGCAACACATTCTCATAACGCTGCAGCAATCATGGCAGCCGCAATCCTGCAACAACCAACATCATCATGACAATACAACTTACACTACATCATCATGCACGCAATATCGTCACAACGCTATAAGACTAACACTCATGACGCAACATCGGTCTGGCACATATGACACTCATTGACTCATCACAACCTGACGCAGCTTAATCATGCACCAAACAACTCTCATCAACCTGACACCACTAAACCTGACACAACATCATCATAACACAACCTGCAAAACAGCCTGCACCAGCCTGAACACAATCCCAGCCTCAGTATGTTCACCATCTGGCCTCCCACACACTGCTAACAGGATCGTATATTCTAGTCATTCGCGTTGAACAGAATCCTACTATCTCGTTATTTCACGTTGAATAGATTTGGTATTTTGATAGTTTACCTTCAACAGATTCCTAGTCTGTGTCTAATATAGATAGATAGATAGATAGATAGATAGATAGATAGATAGATAGATAGATAGATAGATAGATAGATAGATAGATAGATAGATAGATAGATAGATAGATAGACAGATAGATAGATAGATAGATAGATATTCAGTCAAATTCCCACACAAGTTCACACTGACTCATGTACTATATACAGTATAGATATTACAGGTATACAATGTACACACACACACACACACACACACACACAGTACAAGTAAACAATGTACACAGGAGGCAGTGCAGGTTTAAAATGTACACATAGACGCAGTACAGTACTAACAACGGTAAACATGTTGTACACTTGGCTCCTGACCTGCTCTCGTCCCCGCTACACTAAACATTGCTCTGATGAATGTTTGTTCACACCAGGTAGAGCTCTTCTCATTAACACTCAGTCTCTTCCTCACCTGTAACGAGAAAAAACAATAATAACAACAACAGCAATAATAATAATAATAATAACAACAATAACAACAACAACAACAATAATAATATATCAACTCCGACTAACATCCCTCTTCTATGATTCCACCCCCCACCCCATCTCTCACCCACTATCACAAGAACACTCCACCTCAACTACCACAACACCACCACATCACACTCCCAAACGTAACACAACCATCCACCTTCCAACACTAACAACAACTATCCCTTCGCCTACACTAAAACAACCATCGACCTCTCCCAACAACAAAAACAACCAACCATCCACCTCCCCATCAACACAACCACCATCCACCTCCCCCACCACCAAAACAACCGTCCGCCTCTCCATCAACACAACGACCATCCACCTCCACTTCCCCCACAACAACCATCCACTTCCCCCACCACAACCATCCACTTCCCCCAACAACAACCATCTGCTTCGACCACCATAACCATCCACCTCCACCACAACAACCATCCACTTCCCCATCACAACAACAACAACCAGTCACTTCCACCACCACAATCATCCACTTCCACCACCACAACCCTCCACTTCCCCCACCACAACCATCCACTTCACCTCAAATCCATCCACTTCCCCACCTCGCTAACCATCCACTTCCACCACCATCCACCCGAGGCCGCCACATAACCCGGCAGTAATGGCCTACAGCGGACACTAAGTCATCAGAATATTTGCTCACCTGTCCAGTTTTCATTCCCCTAATTGGCTTACCATGGACGCCGCCATAATTATACGATAAAGCTTTTACTTGAGCTATAACTCCTATGTGAGAGAGAGAGAGAGAGAGAGAGAGAGAGAGAGAGAGAGAGAGATTGATAGAAGAGAAGTGAAGAAATGTGGGAATTAGAGAGAGAGAGAGAGAAAAAAAGAGAGAGAAAGAGAGAGAGAGAGAAGAGTGGTCTTTTAACATTCACCTTGTGAGTTTACCAGCCATAGTCTCTATTGATAAAGATTCGCCCCATCAAGACTCGTAGATTAACCTCTTAACACTTTCCCTATTAACTTACCAATGGGTTAACTTTTTTTTTTACGGGTTTTAGCCCACCCGGGCACAGGTCACTGACCCACATCGGGGCCTAGGGGGCGAAAATGTAATAATAATAATAATAATAATAATAATAATAATAATAATAATAATAATAATAATAATAAAGAAATAAAAAAATAAAAAAAGACCAAAAGTGAGAAACAATATATGTATGTTGTGTTGTCAATAGTAAGAGAAACAATTGAGACCCTGCAATTGTGTGTAAATGAGGCAGAAAGTCAGATCAGCAACCTGGGACTTGGTCACAATTTTCGTGATGCCATATGGCAGCAGGGTCTACCATTAGACAACACATTATGCTTCCAATATCTTCCCAGGCGGCAGTACCTCCCTGTTTGGTAGCTGCCTAAGTACTAACTTACTTAAAATTGGTAACATTATGAGATGTTCTTATTACACCATGCTATTGTACTATTCCAGATGATACTAAATGTTACATAATACTTCCTTGAGATAAATGTATAGTATATATCAGGTGCCTAATAGAGAGCTCAGGTTCTCAACTGGCTCAGCCATGTTAATATTGTTATTATTATCCACTCTGTATGTGTGTTTTTCTGGCTAAATAAACCGTTTCAATTCAATTCAATTCAACTAATACGGCCTCACAACCTAACCTAACCTTAAATTGGTATACCTATTAACCAATATGGCATCACTTAACCTAACCTAACCTAATCTAACCCAACCTAAAATACATTTGCTAATTAGCTTACCCGGCATGTATTTACCT